GTTTTACTTGCTGCGTTTACAGGGCACCGCTCCACTGAGAACAAACTTGTGCACAACTGGAATCTGTACATTCAGAATAAAGGCATTCACTGATTTGATGATTCAGGATGAGAAGACCCAGGGATTTCTATCACTCAGAGGAAGAAAACATCTTAATATGCAACTACGGACGCTGATTTCCCAGAAAGGGATAATAGCAAATGTTTAAAAATATAGTGACAAGACATACAACATGTAACATGTAAATGTTTCAGGCTTCACACAGCTGAAGTTAAACAATTAGATTTTTTAAATGAGACAAGTATGAAGGCACACAGAAAAAACAATGATAAAACATGCATAACTAATTTACAGTTTCTTGACCTGGAAATAAGGTGACTTTCTTCCATTTATTTACTTATATTGTTTCATTCTACAAAGGATTTGAGATTTTGGTTCAGTTTACCCTTCCAAACAATCTAAAACATATTTTTATCCCTCCCTGATACATTATTTCCATTTGCCAAACTAGTTTTCTAGTATGTTGAATTAAATTACACCTAAAATTTCAAACTGATATACTGTGTGGGGAAGGAAGTTTATAGACAATGATAATGATTTTGCCAATTCTGGGCTGCAGGGCTCTGTTTTAAGTAACATTTGAGACCGGACAGTGAACAGCATGGTGGTAATGAGGACAGGGCTATGCACTGCGGATTTTCTCCCCCTTCATCTGAACTGAAGACAAGTGCACAGGCACATTTCCTCAAATACCCTCCATTACCAAGGCAGGAAGATGCAGTTCACACATACACCGAGGACTGGGAAACCTCTGTGTAACGTAAAGTCCTTAACAAATTAAATTACCATGGAGTAGGTGCTCAATAAATGTTTCCTGAATGAATAAAGCTTAGTCAAAATTGTTTTAAAACGATGAGAGAAAAAAGGAAAAGTGGAATTAAAGGTTTTTTAAATCATATTTCTCTTGTTTTCCTTAAATCCCTACCAACATTTCTCTTGCTTCTTTACATTTCTTCTCTTGAAGCCAAATTGTTCCTATTTTTGTTTTCAGGAAGGAAAACAGTGTGTCTCTTCCAGTGCCTGATGCATTCCATGTTATATGACAACTGTTTATAGTCACATGTACTCGTATATTAGCACCCTGTTATGATTACTTAGAGCACTACATATATATGGGTTGATTTAACAGGGTTAATTTTTACTGATTTCAAGAGAGAAAACATCATAAAGTGTTAGTAGGGAACATAAGTTCTTAAATCCTGGAAGAACTTCTTACTCTAATTTATTTTCATATGAATAGTTTTGTAATTCCAGTGTTGTAAATCAGTACTTCTGATTAAGAACTGCTTTCACAAAGCAGAACAAGAAAGGAGAGACATTTACAAGCAGGCAGTAAAGACAAAAGAAGAGGCTCTGAGAGAGAGAGCAGGCTGAGACTGCTCAGTAGTCACACAGGTGGTTACAAAAAATAACAATATAACCGTAAGTATGAATGTGTTATCATTGAATTCCCCACCTCCCAGTAATAAAAATTTTTGTTTAGCTTCAAAGTCATGAGAAAACTGTATGCACTTATCATGTGAAGAATCACCCTAGGACCTTCGTAAAAACATAAGACTCCAGGAGCAAACCCTCAGAGATTGAGTTAGTAGATATGGGATGTTTGTGGAGCCTTAATTATGCATTTTCAGCAAGTATTTTAGAACATTTTGAAGATCATTTTTCAGATAGGAAATAGAGTAAAACACTGATTAACTAGAATTAACTTTTTGTTAATTCATTCAATTGTTGATTACTAGGTACTAGAAGACGGCCATGTGACTGGAATGATGCCTTTACAAGTTAAGGAACAGCAAACACCAGAAGGTAGAAGAAGTAAAGGAGGATTCTCCCCATCAGCCGTCAAAAAGTGCATGGCTCTGACAACACCTTGATTTTGAACTTTTATCCTCCAGAAGTGTGAGACAATAAACGACTATTGTTTTAAGTAAAAGAAATAAAAAAGATTATGCTAGCCAAAGTCTGAAGAGTGGATTAGGGAGGAACAAGAGGCCATGCAGAAAACTGTTGTAGGAAAGCAGGTAAGAGACGATAGTGAACTTGACGGAAGTGATGGCATCAGAGAGAGAGAGAGAGAGAGAGAGAGAGAGAAGTGGACAGGTTTATAAATACAGCCTTTTGATTGATGGAATATGGAAGGAGAGGCAGGAGTCAAGGATGAATCGAGATACTGACTGGAATAAGTGGGGGAATGATAATGGTGGTTACTTATACATGGAATGCTGGAGGAGCAACAGCTTTAGAGGGGAAAAGACAATAAATTCAGTTTTGGACATGCTGAATTAGAGATTGCTTGTGAAACACCCAAGTGTAGTGTTGTGTAGGCACTGGACATAGGGTCTCCTAGAGCCAACAAGAGAGGCTTGAGCTGGATGTAATAACTGGAAGCCATGGCAACGGTATGATGCAAGATGTATAGCTCTAATACCTGTCTTGTGAGAAAACTTCAGGAGGCCACACAACCCTAAGGAATGCTATATTTAACGACATAGAAGGGCAGGTGAAGACAGTAAAAGGTACTGAATGGAGGTAACAGAGAGAAAAGAAAATAACAAGGAGACTGGGATGTACCAAAAACCCAGGAAAAATAATGTTTGAAAAACAGAGAGTAGTTAGATGTTCTGAAGGTTCCCAAAAGAATAATTTCTGACTTTTATCAGAGAAATGGAGAAAATAAACTACAAAGTGAAGTGAGTTTATGTGTACAGATATTATTGGGTTGTCGGAAAAGTCATGACGCATTTTTGCAACGAAAAGCATAGAAAAAATATGTCACGCCTTTTCCGACAGCCCAATAGAATGATTTAGTCATGTAAATAAAAACCTATTGTAGAATGATGATATTTTCATGTTAAGATTTACATGTAATTGAGACAATAATGTGATATTCATACAATCACTTATTCCCTTTTTAGGGATGTGGGGATACTTATCACCATGAATTTAAGAATTTGTTGAGGAAAGTTTAATGCAGCTCTCAGATATAAATAGCTAACTGAATAATAACTAAATAATCTGGTAATCTCATTATCATGGGAAATGGATGAAAATATAATGCCAGGCTATTATAAATGATAGAAGATAAATTAATATGTAAAGAAAACAACAGCTAAATGTTTTAACACTAAAAAATGACAAATAGTATGATTTTAAAAAAATAGTAACCTTTTCCTAGTAAACTTCATTTTCTTTAATATGATGTTAATAGATACAGCTTTTCCATATGATTTTAACCCAGCCCGTTCTTAACGAAGTGTCCGATTGTGACAAACTACTCAATGTCAGCTGTTCGCTTCCTGAACTTGAGAAACAAGTTCTTATTAGCTCTCTCCAACTTGGAGGAGTTCTCGATAACAGAAATAAAAAACCTGACTTAGCTTAGAGAAAGATCAAATATATTCTCCTCTGAGGATCAGCTCTGCTTAGGAATGACTGTTCATAGCAAGATTTCTTTTTTAATTTTAGAAAGAATCCAGAAATCTTGCTGGTATAGTTCTTGTCTTCTCAACCAACCAAGTTATTTCCTGTCAAAGATTCAGAACTTCCACTAACACCATTCTTTGATGTCTAAGGACTCATAATTAATTAAAATAACTGAACTAATAAAATCAACTCAAGTTCATAGAGTTTAAAAATATGCCTCCCTGGCCGCGCCACTTCTTTTGATCATTTGTTCTGCTCTCTTCCTTCAGCTACTTACATAGCCTCATTTTATAAATATGAAGTCTAACATTTTTCCCCCCATGATATTCACTATAGGGTAGCATATATTTTTGAAAGCACTGAACTCATCATTTAAATAAAATGTAAGAAAAATTAAATTAAAATTGCACATACAATATCTTGATATCACTAACAAGAAGAAAGGATCGCTGCTAGGCTTAGACTATAGAACTCAAGAAAAGTATATTCAAAGTAAAAGATAATTAAGTGCATGATTAGAATAACTACATTAAGTTACTTAAAATATAATTTCAGGTCTGTGTATTTTAGAGCTCCTTTATTTTACTGTGAATAATTACAACTACCTAGCTTCTTTCAGCTCTTTAAGTACTTAATATGCACAGTCACAAGCCGTGTGTTATCACAAAATCTCAGCGTTTGCATACCTAACACACCAGAACATTCACAGTGGAACTCCACAGTGTTGTAAGTTCCCTAATTAGCAGAGGAAATGTGACCTATTCCAGTGAACGGGCTCTTAACCAGAGTACAGTATGCATTGGAAAGAGTAAGTAGAACAAAATGAGATGAATATGCAATATTATTTTTATGTTCCATACATTTTTTATTAGGGTGGTGTTGACATTGCTCATGGTGATGAAAAAGAAATTATTGATCTCCTTTATTTGTCTAAATCCTATCTATCTTTCAACTGTTAGTTGCAATACAATAACTTGATAAGGACAATCAATAAATATCTAGTATGTGTAAGGCATTATGAAAGAGATGAAAGTCTAGCCTATTACATTTAAGGCATCTAAAAATTCTATATACATAGTAATTGAAATTCAATTTCATAGAAGTAAGATATTATAGTAATATTAGAATGCTTGAAATATATGAATTATTACAGCTGAAAGCTTAGGTGACCATATTTATAAAGCCGTACGTTTAGAAAAGAATAATAATGCTAAAAAACCTGAATGGTATAGTTTTTCAAAATGCTGTTTCTTTTGTCAACCAACAATAAGTAAAGCATACATTCATATTCTATTAACAACTTAGTCTTTCTTTACTTTTTATTATTCCTCCCTTGCTTCTTTAATTCTCTAAATATGTAACACAATGATATATATACAGATACTATGACTGCATAGAAAAAAGTTATGTTAAAAGGACATAAGTGGCAATATTATAATGAGCAATAATCCTAGAGTGTATTAATTTTAACATTTATCTTCTTTTAGAGTTCGTAAATGAAATCTGCAAATACATACCAGATCTGTTTTAGGAGTATCTGGACACTCAGTAGAGAAGTAAGATGCTGAACTTCTGACTCCACTGTTATCAGAAGTTGGCTTTGGAGGCTGAGCATGCTGTCTGTAAGTAGCACTTTTAGGGGTCCAACAAAACAGGTTGATTGATTCGCGCACACAGCGTTCGATGTCAATTTCTGGATAGAAAATTTTAAAAAAAAATGTATGTATGGAATTTGGATTGCTATGTTTATGAAAAAACAAAAACAAAAACAAAACACAATCTTTCCTAAATGCACATATTCAAATATGGCTAGGATGATGATGACTAATTAGAAAAGATGTCAGTAAGATGTAAGAAAACTAATGTAGAAATTAATTAGCATATTTATGACTGAATAGTAGGGGTTCTTTTGTATTACTATATACATACATATACACAATACATTTGCACATGAAAATATATGCATATATTTTTGTGTGTTTTATTTGGTATTATCTACATATATATATATACATACATATATACAGTATGTATTTGTATATTTTAGTATATTATTTAAACATCATAGACTATAACACTTATTATATATCTCCTATTTAAGAATCTGCCTCATTTACTCTGATGATATTTTCACTTTTCAAACTAAAATAGAGGTTGTGGGGAGGCTGGAATTTGGGAGTGGGCAGACAAAAGATTCAGATGCTGTTCATCACGACTTTGAGTAAAGTGTACTAGAAGTTTCTTTTCTATTTATTAAAGAAGATACAAAATAAACAGGGAGAAATTTATTAAAATCTCAATTCAGTCTGCAGTCCCACCAGCAGTGCACCAGGGTTCCCTTTTCCCCACAGCCTCGCCAGCATTTGTTGTTTGCTGATTTATTGATGATAGCCATTCTCAGTATGGAGGTACCTCAAAAATCTGGAAATGGAACTACCTTTTGACCCAGCAATACCACTCTTAGGTATTTATCCAAAAAATCCCAAGACATTAATCCGAAAAAATATAT